CATTTTAGTGATGTGACCTTACCACCAGCTTAACATGTACTTGTATAGCTGCAGCAAATTTCCACTGTTACATTACCGATCACTTCTTTTATTACAGTGATAATATCACTTCTAATATGAACTAACTAAATTCACTGCTGATACTTGACTGATTAAAATCAGTACATAATAAAGTGTAAAGAATCTCAGGTTGTTTCAAGGGAGACTAAGTATACAAAAAATGCAATTAACTCAAATTAGCTCATTCACTGTCTGCAGCTGATATTTTCAGATGTGACCTATATAGAAAATAAGCTGGGTTTAACTGGATTTATTTTTGTATAACAAATCTATTTCATTGCTCAAAAGGTCCATGAATTGGAGAAGTCTAAACGGACACTTGAACAGCAAGTAGAAGAAATGAAGACACAATTAGAAGAGTTAGAGGATGAGTTACAGGCTGCTGAAGATGCCAAACTTCGGTTGGAAGTTAATATGCAAGCCATGAAAAGCCAGTTTGAAAGAGATTTACAAGCCAGAGATGAACAGAATGAGGAGAAGAGGAGACAACTCCTTAAACAGGTATCATTTTACTATTACAAACACAGTAACAAAGCCGAAAAACCTGAATGTTCCCAGGCTCATGCCATTAGTAAAGCACTTCACTATAATAAGAAAGCATTATATATATAAAGATAGCATAACAGTATTATATTTTGCATTTCAGTAGCAAGCACACAGTTGCTAACAGATGTAGCAAGTCAACACTACAGTCAATACAGTAGAAAACACGTGAATTATTTTCCCTAGCACAGTAAATACTTTTCCTGTGTTCTTAGAGCAAGTGAAATAAGACAGTTTCTGACATGTCTGCCTTCCTAAAGTACATGAAATAGATACCAAAGTATTGGAAAGGCAAACAGACAGGACAGAGCCTATTTGTACAGTAGCATTGTTAAAGCAAGGAGAAATCCCATAGTCATCTTATTTCCAAAAGTACAGGCCCACAATGCTGACTCCTGTGGAGAATCTTCAATTTTTTAAAATAGAAATGCATTTTAACTGCTAGTAATATCCCAGTTAATAGACACAGATTATGCAGGTTATCCAGACTTACACAGTGTTTAAGAGTATTGAAGAATGCTTTCTATACGTGTCTGCTCTAACAATCAGCTCCACGAACATGAAACGGAACTGGAAGATGAGCGGAAGCAACGCGCCCTGGCAGCTGCAGCCAAAAAGAAGTTGGAGGTTGATGTCAAAGATCTAGAAAGCCAAGTTGATTCTGCTAACAAAGCTCGGGAAGAAGCCATCAAACAACTTCGCAAACTACAGGTATGTAAAACCCACAAATCCAGTTTTTTCTACTCTTTTGTCATATGCTGACAGATAAACAAAGAATTGGAATATTCATAAAGATTAAGATGGCACACCCGCAAACATGCAAGGGAAATAAGGTCAATAGGCATTACAAAAACTACAGCACACAAGTGGAAGCATCACTCTCTTTAGAATAATTAAGAGTCTCTCGGCATATGCTAGCTGATCTCTACAGAAAATACACAGAAGCTCTGTGATTCTACTATGCTTGTGTCCTATTATGTGCACATTTCTTTGCATTGATGTTGTTGTAAAACTAGACAAAAATAAACTTTCGTTATTCTTTTCAACAAGGCTCAGATGAAGGACTACCAACGAGACCTGGATGATGCACGGGCTGCCAGAGAAGAAATATTCGCTACAGCCAGAGAAAATGAGAAGAAAGCCAAGAACCTTGAAGCTGAACTCATCCAGCTTCAAGAGGTAAAATGGAAAACTTTTAAAGCAGTATTACACAGAATATACAAGATCTTCAGTAGCTAGACAGAACTGCATTGATATGATATAATAGCTAGAGATGGAAAATTAAAAACAAAATTTGTAATATGTTTCATGCTCTCCAGTGGCGTTGTTGAATATACATCTGAGCATAGCCAGGTCAAGCTTACCTTGGAGGAAAGCACAATTCGGGTTTAAAGGGAAATCAACTCTACGATCCAATACAAATTGTTCTCAATAGCTAGACATTCTTCCCAGACATTTATGATTTAAGAGTTTATTCCATTAACCAGACAACCAAGCTTACACCAGTTTTCGAGAGTTCATAGTTGTGTAACTTTGTGAGAACACTTGCTCATTTCTTTGCTATGCTGCATTTTTCTTCACTCCTAGGATCTGGCTGCTGCAGAGAGAGCTCGCAAACAAGCAGATCTGGAGAAAGAAGAGATGGCAGAGGAACTTGCAAGTGCTGCTTCTGGAAGGTAAGAATAGATTGGATTATTCACAGAGCTATAAGCATGCTGCTGAAAATTGCACGGTTCCCAAAAGAAGGTGTATTCCTGTCCCAACAGATATCCAGTCTTAACAATACAACATGTATGCACCTGAATGGTTTTGCTATCTGATTTTCTTTTCCTGGTGAATCATAGGTAGTTCCTAATAGCTTTATGTGTGTTCAATTGGTCAGAGCATAACTGTACACTTCTTAAATTTAAACTTACAGAACAATCCTACAGGATGAGAAACGGCGCCTAGAGGCAAGAATTGCCCAGCTGGAGGAAGAGCTAGATGAAGAGCACAGCAACATAGAGACAATGAGTGATCGCATGAGGAAAGCGGTGCAGCAGGTAGAGCTCATTACAGCACGTGTGTCACTTTGTTTGTATTCCATTGAAAGTTATCTGTGGCTTTGAAAATATATTTGGAGAACTGCCACCATGAATCACCACCTGATTTTCCCTGAAAGTACACAACGCTTTTGACAACATCCATTCTTGCCCTTGCAGGCAGAGCAACTGAACAATGAGCTGGCAACAGAACGAGCAACCGCACAGAAGAATGAAAATGCCAGGCAGCAATTGGAGAGGCAGAATAAGGAGCTGAGGAGTAAACTGCAAGAGATGGAGGGAGCCGTGAAGTCTAAATTCAAAAGCACAATTGCTGCTCTGGAGGCCAAAATTGCTTCTCTTGAAGAGCAATTGGAACAGGAGGCCAGGTACTTAGGCTTGCAGAGGGCATAGACATCCATTTATTGTTCCAGTTAATGAAACAAAGTAAACAAATGCATATATATTTGTGTAATCAGGTTCTCAGAACCATTAATGTTTGGTAAATTCTCTCCCTGCATAACATTCCTTAGAGACACGGCCACTAAAATTGGAGTTATTACAGACTCTGAGTAAAAAACCATTTTATTGCTGAAAAGTTCTATTGGTAATGGTAAGAATCTGCCCCCTTACTTTACCACGTGACCCTAGCAGATTCTCTATCATATACTGTGCCATTTGTAGGACTATTTCCTGAGGAAGTCAATTTGTGTTTTAGATCTCCTTATCCCCTCAGGAACTTATCATGCAGCAAAAACACATTGCTGCTTTTTTTGTTTGTTTTTAATCAAAGACATTTACATCTTGCTTAGAATTCATCTGTTACATTCAGATAGGCCTTTACCATATGGTTCCTTGGTGCCGCATCAAACCACATCACCAAATGTTGCACTGTCATTTGCAGAGAGAAGCAGGCTGCAGCCAAGACATTACGCCAGAAGGACAAGAAGTTGAAGGATGCATTGCTGCAGGTGGAGGACGAGAAAAAACAAGCAGAGCAATACAGAGATCAGGTATGAGTCTGCATCATAAAGGTGTTAGCCAAGGGCACAGACATTTTCGAGTTTTACTAAAAATTTTCAGATTTCTGCCTTTCCTAAAAAAGCAAGATTCCGTGTTATACCTCAAGAAGGGTCTGTGCTAGGACAGCTATAAACCCTTTTGCTAAAAGATGTGACAATTTGATTTTTCTTCCATGCTGAGAGAAGTGCCAAAGCACTACCCTTGTCAATAGACCAACAGTCTGACTATACACTGTGATTGATATATAGGACTCTGCATAACATCCCTTTTGGTACACAAATGGAGACCATGATTACATTTTGTATCCTACTGAGATATTTAACTTTACATAACACGTATCAACCTGCAAACCAGAAATGCAGAGTCAGGACTATGTAACAAAATAAAGAATTAAGTTTGCATCAGCAAATTGAACTCCCACAAAGTAGTTATATTTACGTTTTTAGATTTTAAGTTTTGCCTTTGATAGAGGAGAAAACTCTCAGTAGACAAACGAATAGAAATATGAAATTTAAATGAGAATCTAAAGCTATCAGATGTATTTCAACTTGAAGAATTACTTTAATTTTGTCTTGTAGGCTGAGAAGGGCAACCTACGACTCAAGCAGCTGAAAAGGCAGCTGGAGGAGGCTGAGGAGGAGTCTCAACGTATCAATGCAAACCGCAGGAAGCTGCAGAGGGAGCTGGATGAAGCTACTGAGAGCAACGACGCCCTGGGCCGGGAGGTTGCAGCACTGAAGAGCAAGCTAAGGTAGAGTGCCATTGTTTGAGGAAAAATTGAAAATTTAGCATTAAACTAAGGAAGTAAAAAATAAAATAATCTATTCAAGTAACAAACAGGCACAGATAATGAACACAAGGAGTAACTTTGCAGTGTTAGCTTGGCAAATGCAACAAGAAGCCAAAGTCAGAAGGTGAAGTGCATATCATGGACTGCAGTTGTCTCAGGATTTTAGCTGAGAGATCAACAACTGTGACAACATGGCACAGGCCTTACTATTTTTCTATCCAAAACTGCTGTTGACTTAAATAGGAACAGAATTAGGCTTGGTTGCTTTTGAAAATACTCCTGTGGCCATACATATTTCTACAGTTACAAATGGGTAGAAATGGTCATGCTTTTCATACTTACACACACACACAGCTCATATGTAATGACTGTGATAAGTCTTGTGCATTTTCACAGACAGCAAAAGGCAAAGCAGGTTATACAACTCTCATTCAAAAGTTTTTGAACCTCACCTTTCCTTACATAGGGTCATCAGACCAAGGAAAGACCAAAATATTATTTTTCATTTTCCTTATTAAAACTGACTGGGAAAAAGATAAAGCTGTGAGCAGTCAGATACATACCTGAGTTTTCCTGCACTTGTTGGATCTGAAAACACTAAGACAGAAACACAGGCTGACTTGATTCATAGGAAATTTCTGTATCTGCATCATCAAACTGTAGAACTCTGCTTTCTACCTAAAAACAAAAAGTAATTCCAATGAAACTAAAGCACCTGCCTAGTTGTGTTCTTGCTGCTGTAGTTGAGTTTTTCCATTGACATGCATGCAACTTCAGACGTAGATACTTCAAAGCAAAGAGTTAGGGATGTGGTAGCCTTCTCTGTTAGTACCAGCTTGGTTGGTACACACTACTGGCTGTGTTACAAAATAGCTGCTGTATTCAGCCTTTTTTACATAGAAAAGGATATTTACATTGAATAGCAGATTATTTTTTTGTTTGACCTGAATGTACTGTAATTGGCGGTAATGTACTTTGTTTAATTATTTAAAAGTAATATACCTACCTCTGATCATGACTATGTGCTTAGTATAACTGCCCGGGATTCTTTATCTCTGTTTCAGAGGGACACAGGAACCTTCGCATGACTAAGCAGGTACCATGCCTTCAACTTTGCAGCTAGCTTGTGTCGTACAAATTCCATTTTCTTTGGCCCAAGTAAAAATTATGTGAGGTTTCTGCAAACTGTGAAGGCTTGGATATCTTGGCATTAATTTTTTTAAAAAAGAAACAAATATTACAATAATCTAGCTATCATCAGCTGTTCATCAGCAATACAACTTTTTTTTACAAGTAGGCTACGTACTGACGTAGACTTACCAGTGTTGCATTCTCACTTCTTATAAGCTCTACCAACAGAGTACCCAATAAAGTACTCTGACATTTTCTGCATGTCAATTGTCTTTTTTTTTTTTTTGCACCTATTTACAGCCAAAGATGAAAAATTTGCAAATCAAATACACTATTAATTAGTAAAATTGATTTAAAGCACTAATGAACATGAAGTGTCACAGCATGTTAAGTGTTTCACATTGTTTCTTAAGCATATTGTAATGTTGAGTCTAAGGTAAGACCCTACCTAATTCACAAGATTTTAGAATACCTTGTTTGCATGTGGTTTATTACACATTTATGCCATCCAATCATGAATAAAAGGAAATTGTGCCTTTTGTTACATAGCACTGTGCCTGTGGTTGCTTACAAACAGCTATTACTAAGGCTTTTAAAACTATTTTGCAGACATTACCTTGCTTGTCTACAGTGTGTTGCTTGTCTACTGCTACTGAAACGTAAAGCACAGACAGAAATTAACGTGAACACTCTAATACAGCACAGCATTACATCACACCTCATCACATTCTGTAGAAGTAGGAATGACACCTGCTGTTGCAAAAATTAAAGAGCTACTGCCTTGTAATATTTGTATATCTTCTATTTTACATATGCTGAATTTCGCTGTGAATACACAAATATTTAAAGAAGCTGTCTTGTCCTTGCATGTGCCTTTTAGTCAGCCTAATTTTCCCAGAGCGTGATTGAAGCATCACTCCAGTAGCACTTGTTCAAAGGTAGACTAAATAGATGCTAAGCAAAACACTAATGCTTAGGGCTTGCCTCAGCTGTATGCATTACTCTAAAAGTACTGATGCAGATGATCACAAGAATATTATCAAAGCCATAAACCTGTTTTAGATTAACAGATTTAAAAATTATTTATAAATGGGACCAATACCAATTTGAAGGAAGTTCACTTTCTTTGTAGCCAAAACTGTACTGCAAGACTTGGTTACACTCTGTTACTCTCCACCAGTAACATGTTCTTTTATAGTACTCCAATGAACTACAAGAGTGTAAAAAGCCATTTGACAAATGCCTTGTATGTAAGTCTAGATAGCAAGAGCCCAAGGAGGGAAGGGATCCAAAGAGCTCTTCCTGATGAAGACAGAGATCTTCATTGACAAGATCAAACAAATGTATTGACCTAACCAGAGCTTAGTAACAAATACCTGCCATCATGAAATAGTAGATGCTGCTGGTTTAATCTGTCAAACACAACAGAGTAGAAACATACCCTTATCTTAAAGTCTTCTAATACGTGCCTCAGAAGAACTAAGGCTAAGAGTAGATCTTAAGTGTTATTATCCAGCAAGTTGCTTGCTCACATCAAAATTAAGTTACCATACAGGGTTGGAAAAACAAAACAAGAACTATATATGTACGCAATGTGTTCTATCTTGGAAACACAGGTTTGGTTTGTACTCTAAAATAATTTAGGCCAGCTAACATTCTTATCTGCTTCCTAATATGGAAGACAGAACTTTGAACTTGAATAGCTGCTGCAGAAAGGACAACTCTGGCTTAGTCTTTTGCAAGGACAAGACAAGCCTTTAAATATTTACACATGATTGCTGTACCCAAAAGTGCAGAGTTGGATACATTTTAATATCAAATTAGTCATTTTGGCATAACATTCAGTGATCATGAATTTATTTTGTTGCTTATGTCTGTGGTCTCAAGCCTTTACAAAGGTTTGCTTAATTAAGAGCAAGTGAGAGGCCATGTTACAAAACTCCAATGTTTTGTAGCACACAAGCAATGAAGGCCAAGATGAGACATACTCATCTTCTGTCTCACTTGCTCACACCTCCCAAAGATATTAACCTTGAGGACCAAAGTGTCCCTGGCTTGGGCTGTAGCTATGGGGATGGGAGGGAGAAGGGAAAAGAAAAGGGGTAACGTGGGAAAAACATTTTCTGCGAGCTTTTCTATCACACATTGTCTCTCTACTGAGCGTCAGCACACGAATTATAACAGTTCCACAACACAGTGATGGCTTCCTCCCCATTGTGGAAAAGGCTGGAGCTACTCACAGCCTAGAACATCACGTCACAGCACCTGTGGTACTCTGAGCAACACAGCCTGACTGTGGGATCAGAAAACACCCACTGACATCTACAGCACTGCTCCAGTCTCTGGCCTCACTAGTCTTCTGTAACTGGTGAGCTTATTCAGACCAAAAATTCAGCATGAGCTTTCTGTGTCTTCTTGATCTTTGAGAAATGCAGGATCAGTGCTCCACTGATGATGTGGGGGATAAGCAATTCCTTTTTCCCAATCCCTTCTAAGGACATTCAGTTGTAGTCCCAAAGGGGAAAAAAATAATAGAAAGGAATTTAGGGCATTTGGAGCAGATGAATCAATTTAGAATAGACTTCAAGGACAAGAACAGGAATCCCATCACAGTTCCAAGCAAGTGGGAGTCTCAATCTGTCCACATATTAGCTTCAGGTGCTACAGAGAAGACAACTATGTTAGGTGCCCACAGCTCTTGGCTGTTTTTGTTTTAAAAACCTCAGACCCACAGGTACTGTTACAAAACTCTATGATTATTTGTGAGGGCTGTAAATGACCTAACATCTGATTTTATTTTGTTATTGCAGGAGAGGAAATGAACCAGTATCTTTTGCCCCACCACGTAGATCTGGAGGCAGAAGAGTAATTGAGAATGCAACAGATGGAGGTGAACAAGAAATTGATGGAAGAGATGGAGATCTCAATGGAAAAGCCAGTGAATAAACACGCTTAAAATTGCACTGCAGCAAGGGGAGGGAGGATGATATTTAGCACTGTTTAAGTCTACTCTTAGTGTCAAGGTCACACACACCCACTCCTCTGGATGATGATGAAAGCACAACTGCCTTGTCTCCAATGTATAGATTCATGTTAAAAGTACTCCAGAACTTTTATCATGAAATGTTTTTGAGAAGTTTTGTTATAAACTCAGAGCAATTCATGAAGAATCTTCCAAGAAAGTGAGTTCCAGTAGTTCAGACAATTTAAATCTCAGTGAACTGAAGTTTACAAAGGATTTGTAGGACTGTTGCAGGAAAAAAGGCATTGGTCAGTTAATCTTTTCTTAAACTTTCATTTTGTCTTAAGTATTCAATATAGTATTTTTTTTCCTGGTTACTACACCCCTGATGCACCATTCACAAGGTGGAAATGCCTTTTTAATCACATACTGAAAAATAAAATATCATTTGTTCAAATTAAATCAACTGTTACAGTTTTATATGCACCATGGATGTGCTTACACACTAATAAAAGTCTATAAAAACCACTCCAACATTCTTGTGTGCAGGTGTCACTTGGGTGTAATACAACACACCAGAAGGAAATGGGAGATGCAATACAACTTCTTTACAACTCAAATACCTTTCTGAGAACATGAACTGTGACTGCTAGAATGAAAAACTGATATCTTCTAAGTGATTGCTTTTGAAAGAAGACGTACATTCAGCTGAAAGAAAAAAAAGACACAAAGCACGTGAGACAGGCTTAGCCACTTCATGAAGACATGGTGCTGAGAAACCCTAGGATGTACCCAAGGATGGGCAACACCTACAAGAGACTTGTAGTCTTCTAGTGCAGCATCTAGGAAGCAGATAGGGCTCTAAATGCCTGTGTTTAGATAACTGAATCCGCATGTTTAACCTGCATGTATATAGGTAGCTCCCATGAAAGCCTCCGAAAGCAAGTTGGAAGCAAATAGAAACAGCAGGCCACACTAGATACACTGATCTAAGCCCAAGCTATTTGGTATTAAGGGATCAGCATGCAATTAATTTTATTTTTGGATCACTTCAGCAAGTCTGCAGCCCATTCCTGGCAACTACCAGGATTTACAACCAACCCATGCAGCCCTAATACTCACAGATAGCAGCCAGCTTTACGGTCACACTGGGGCAGTAGAGAACCACACACTGCAAAGTCAGGAAGATTAACTCTAAACTGAGTACAAAGAGCTTTCTTGATGTCTTACACTGTACTGCAGATTAACTTTAAAGCAGTCTTACTACAGGAAGACCAAATCATGCAAAAGCATCTATCCCAACCACTGATGATCACCTTCTACAACTAATAATTATTCCTCAAGGCAGAAAAATCAGAAAGAACACGACAGTTTAAGAGCAGAAACCACTTAGCCAGCAGAATCAGACGCCAAATAATACTCTTTTTAGAGCAAATATAAAAGGAAGAGCTTAAATAAGAATCCATTCAGAGTGATTACGATGACAAGTTGGTGAGGGGGCAAAAGCTTTTCATTGTATAGTCAGCCAAGAAGCATAGCTCTGTCAACATGTTCAAGAATTGGCTATTATGCTGGCAAGCCTGTACATGTGCAAAGGAGATTGAGGAAGTCAGACTTCAATAAAATGGTCTTAAGCACCAGTACTTGCATTAGAACTTGTAAACTGAACATCATGCCTTTCTAAAAGGACTTCGTCTAGATAACTCAGAAGCCTAACAGTGCAGTGGTTAAAGCACTACCTACCGCTTGAGGAATTTAGGTTCTAGACCCCATTCTGCAAAGCAAAATAAGCTTCAGAGATATTTTTTTTCTTTGTGACACTGCAGAAAGAACCCTTCTGCAACAGTGTCCTAACTGCTGGTTTTGGCTGGGACAGAGTTAGTTTTCTCCATAGCAACTTGAAGGCAAAGAGAGCAATGAATAAATTCCTTATTTTGCCTTCCTTGCAGACACAGCTTTTGCTTTACCTATTAAACTGTCCTGGTCTCAACCCACGAGAGCTGTTTTTTCCTTGAACTTTTACCTTTCCAATTCTTTCCCCATCCCTCTGGACACACAAAGCAAGAATGCAGATGTCTGATATTAGCTGCCTACGAAGGTTAGCCCGTAACAGCAAGCTACAGTTCCTCTGTCAACAGATGCATCATTACAGAGGCAATTGATCTGCACTATATTGTTTTGACAATTCTCAACAGCATTCCCACCTGTAGCCTGATTACATCTGTAGCCACATCAAAAACACATATCTGTAGAGTATAATATCAGTAGCCACTTTAACTTCAAATCCATGGCTCCAGCAAAGCCTTGACTTTAAGTCTGTAGCTTACATCAGTGCTGACTCCCAGCCTGAACAGAAGTCAACTGCTCACTAAGCAGGCAAATTCTGACAAGATCACACAGAACTCATCTTGAGTGATCAGGCTACATGGTCCACTGAGTTCATGTGACAGCACAACTAATGAAGTAGCTCGTGCTTTAGCTCCTTATGGGTAAGAAAGGAGTGCCAACTCTGTGTGACAGAAGAGGACAAAAACACTAGAACAGATTACAGCCTCTGTTCAAGATTTTAAGAGTAATGCCAAGCACTGTGAAAATCCAGAAGGCATCATTAGCTATGGCAGTAACATTCCTTAGAGTAAGAAACAAGAGAACAAGAGATGTAGAAAAATATGCATATAATTTCAGCAAAAATGTATCCTTAGGCTTCACTGATAAGAAACAGCAAAGAAACTGATGACAAATACTTACATGGTACGCATGACAACTTGCAAAAAAAAAAAAAAATTCAAAGTGAATAATTAGCATTCAAAATAAGCTTTATTCAGCTCCCTAGTTAAGCCAACTTTGTAGACGGCTTGAAATAATGGCAATGGCCTGTGGTTATTTTCTATTCCAGAGAAATAGATGCATCAGTAGTTGTTTTCACATTGAAAAAACAAAATAATTACGCATTGTCATGTAGATTTCTCCCTCTCTCCCCAGATATAAAAATGTTTAGCCATTACTGCTTTTGTAAATGCAAGCTTATCTAATGTGTATTAATACTGTGAGTGTATTTCATTTTTTAAAAAAATGTAGTGTATTTCTGTAGGGGAAACACGCCAACTTAAAAAAGAACTCACTATTCTGATATACTTGGCCAGCAGAAAGAACTTTTCAAGCTAAAACCATTGCTAAATTAGTAACAGCTGAAACATTTCTCATTAAAGAGAAACAAAGATAAAATAAGATAAATTCACACATACCCAAGGCACAGTAATAAACGGAGGTCTGGAAAGTAGTAAAACCCACTTATTAATATGTTAGAACTAGAAACTCAAATCAACAGCCAGGCTTTATGGGCCACAATACAGCAAAAGTATATCTATAGGCTAATACAGGGCAAACTTCTCCACCCCTGGGATCTCCTGAGTACCATAAGTATTAAGCATTCCTCAACTCTTAACTGTTATCTGCTCTTTAAAGTAAATCATTGCTTACAAAGCTTCACCACCAGACAGAACTTCACATAGCGAGATTCTGGCCAGCAAGCAACCTACAAAGAACTGAGCAGTTTCTCCACAGAAATACAGGCAGTGTCAAAGCAGGAGTTATTCACAGCAATGAATATAGGAAGCAATTTTATGTCCTGTGCTGCTAGGCAACATTGCTTCATCACACCACCCACACAACACAGCATAAAAGCCAGAAGGGCAAAGCCATAAGATGCCATTACCAGTAGTAGTTTCTTTTTCAGGGCTCACCTACTCTTACACTTCTGTCTGGTTGCCTATTGATATTCATATTATATGTACATAAGATTTCATTTTTCCTTTTCATAGCAGCATTTTAACAACACTTTGTGAAGGATGACTCATTGGTCCTGGAATATTTGAAGGTCTTGTTCCAAACTCCAGGCGTTTCACTAACCTGCAAATACAAAGCAGAATTTAGAGCATTTCTTGCTCAGTTTTACCATCTCAGTCACAGTAACTGGTCATTTACAAGAATGCAACACTAAGCCAGAGAAGCCAACAGATTAAAAACAAACAAACAAACAAAACAATGGCCTGAATATCAAGTGAATCTGTTACTTAACTAGGCTAAGTTCTCCACTGTAAAACAAGGTTCCATTTCTCTCTGAGTAGTGACAGACTAGATTTTACAGGAGTTAGAATTTCAGTTCTTATGTTACAGTAATAGATGTGTAATTTCTTATAGGAATACACAAATGTATGGCCCTTGAGGCTTTCTTGTAGGTTTCTCCCCAGGCTGCAATAGTAAGTACTACATGGAACATTCTTTCTACATGACAACTTTGGGCACCAATTAACAGGACAAATGAGTATTCCCAGATCAAAGGTCTGGCTGAATAGTTGCATCTGCAGTAACTTGTACTATAAATACTGCGAAAACTTGGGAAAAACAAAACAAAAACAACCATCCAGTACAGGATTGGCATGGCTTATATACTGAACTCTAATTTGCAATAAACTTATACATTTCCCATGTGTTGGGAATGGGAGGAAAGAGATAACCAGCTCATTAGGTAATAGCTTTTGTCAGCTGCTCCCTGGAAATACGTCTTAGCAACTATAAAGAATTCAAATGAGTTGATTCATTATCTACTTCCCCCCATTCCTCCAGTTCTCATGTGGATAAAAATCCTAACTATGATAAGGGAATTCCCCATATGCCAAAATTTTGCTGATTGCTGATTCATCACTGCACAAGAACAAAGCATAAATCAAACAAAGCCAATAAGCATGAGCTTGCTCTGTTGTACTTGCTCACATTTAAACATTGATTTTACTATAAAGTATTATGATTGCTTTGAATTTGATCTTGATCACAGCTAGTCTTCAGATTTCAGCAGCAGAGATTACAATTTTTAATCTGGTCTGAAACATGGAAATCAATCTTGATTAACTAAGTTTCCTTCCTTTCAGAAACAGGTCTGACTCTACCAAAATAAAGAACAAACAAGAAATAAACATTACCAGTCAGAAAGTTCTCACTAAAGCAAAAAGCTTAGAATAGCACTAACCCTGTATCACACAGAGGCTGATGAGGACTCATGCGTGTTTCAAGGACATCTCTGTTCATGTACATGGACACTGTGCTTCTGTCTGGAGACTGGTCATACACAAAGTTTCGGCAGGAGGCAAGTTTGGACTCCAAAGCCTAAGGTAAAGATAGGTAATGTACAATGTCACAAGATGTAATTTTGACACAAAAATTGCACAGTGTGCAGAAAAAAGCAAGTGTGCAATTTTTAGTTTGTTTTAAAATGAGTCATCTAGTAGAGGAACCTGCAGATTCTTGACACCAGTGCTGTATACTACCTTGAACTATTTCCCTGAACTTACATCAGGTTGTGTATTGGGTGGTACCACAGATACCCTCTTCTCTACCACAGGCTCCTTTCCTAAATGGTTCCACCTTCATCGCTAAGATAACTTCCTGCTGTATTCCACAAGTCAGCCTGTCAAGTCATACAAATACTTGTGCCAACACAAGAAGAACTGGAGCATGGGGGAAAAGGCAGGAGGAAGTTATGTGATAACTTTCCAGCATCAGCACTATTTTAAATGTCATTAGTTCATCAAGCCATTAGGTCCTACTTAAAACAACAACTGGAGTATTATTGAAAACTTTATCAGAAGCCACTGCACAGCAGGCATGTCACGGAGTTGATCAGATCAATCTATGTCCGTGACAGGGGCGGCAGGCCTCTGCCCTCCCCCCACACCCCGGTCCCACAAAAAAATGGGAAGGAAGGAAGGGAGGAAAAGAGCAGCGGCAACAATCTATGGAGGAAAACCTATTTTACTATAATATTGGAATACAAGATAACACAATATATACAATTTAATTGAAATTGAGATTAATAAATCAGACAAGATGAGAGAGAGAGTTCCCGGGACCGATTCAAACCTGAAAAGCTTGGAACGGCCAGGAAAGCACCCTCCTGCACCCACTGCCAGGCAGCAAGAGAGCGCCCCCCCCACCTGGAAGGGCCAGATCCCGTGACTTCTGTAATGTACAGGGATAGGTAGCTGGGATTGGGGCAGTGACACTTTAATGTCCCCTACACTACATGATGTTTTGATGTGGAATACTGAAATCCAAAAACAAAAAAACAAAAACAAAAAACATAGAACCATGACAAGGCATCAGCCTGCTTTTTTCTCTGCCCTTCAACAGAACAGATTCCCTCATCATTTACTCTTGCCAGTCTGTCTTTTTCTGCACATACTCTTTCAGAAGTGTGTAGAGGAAGAGAGATCAGGACTCCACACATGTAGAAGATCTCAGAAAAGCAGAGATGGGTCTTTGTTTCAGAGCTGTTCAGAAGTGTACAGAATCAAGGCCAAATTTCAAGGCCGCACTTAGCTAACTTGCTTGCTGAGATGGGCTTTCCAGTCTTGTCCGAGCAGCAGCGCAGATATTCAATCCTGGCTACATTTTCAGACAGCTCTTTCTTTCCAAGAACTTTGGCTATCAGGTAAACACTTACCCCTACTTTTCGCAGCAAGTCTCCCATGATGTTAAGTGCAGATATTCTGGCAGCAGGTGTGAGGGGGGTTGCACAGTAACTGTCCTCAAAACCTACAGGGCAGGTTAAATACATTATCCATTGTTTAAAAACAGAGAAACAAACAGAAAACCCACTTTGACAAAATCAGAAGACTGCCTGGCATACAGAGTAGATGAAACATTAGTACCTTCACCTTTCTGTATCTGACCTTCAAATCCTTCACGTCCACTAGAAATACGAAGCACTGACTCCCTGAGATAGCTCAAGTTACTAAGTCCTAAACTGAAGTCTCTAAACAAGCCGTGGTTTAAATTTCTAGCTATTTGTTTTACCAGCCTGCTCTGCATCTCTATTACTGCGGCAGGACCAAAAGTGTGTTCTCAGAGAGGGCCATCATCTCATTTTACAATAAATCTTCCACTCTTTTTTCAATCTCTTTTCAATCTTTTTTGAGAGCTCTCCCCTACCAAATCAGGTTAAGAGCACCAAAGCCTACAATCAATCTTTCTTTGTGCTTAACTGTAATATTCAGTCACCAGCATGTGATAGTACATTTCCTTGTTGTAATCTCTGATACACAGCTAACACAAATTTCTGACTTTTTAAGTACTGAAGAGATAGGAGTCAATGTTAGAAGGTCGGAATTTTTATTTTTAATGAGCATTGATTATTTCAGTAACTGATTCTATTAGCACAAAAGCAGAGATAGTAATTTAGTACAGCTAGCTAGGATGACTTGCCAGTGTACTACTGTTCCAAAGTAAAAGGAAGACTTCTCTCTAAGCATCTACCCTCACAGAGAAGCCTTTTCAAGAAATGTAGCATAAAAGATCATGCAGAAGTTTCCAAAATCTTCCCTGAATTAGCCCCGCATCTCTGAAACAGTTGGGAACAAATAATCAAGTCCTACTAGCTCACCTAGTCCCTTACAATCATTATTACTGGACAATCCACATCAATTAACAGCCTATGAATAAGGCCCCAAACTTGCAGTCAGTGAATACTGAGATCGCGGTGATTGGATTTAAGTGGATTTTACTGAAACACTCAGCTCTGCTCCTATTTTCCCATTTCTCACGTAGCCAGAATCTATGGTGAAAACAAGGGTATGACATTGCTTTGCTGTGCTTGTTCTCTGTCACACACCTCTCCTAAATGTCGCAGGGGTGGGTATGCTGATGTTGGGTGCTCGGTGCACGGAGGGAGTTGAAGGCAAAGATAAGGATGCTTGAACTGCAGTGTCTGTTCTTTCTGTTTCCAGGCTAGTTTGCATTGGTGTTTTGGGTTTCTCCTGTTTCTGCTGTACTGCAAGTTCTTGCCGTAGATCTGTGAGGAAAGCAAAAAGTCTTTAGAATCATTATTCACTAAGATAAAAAGCATTTGAGAGAGTTTATTTTGCTCGTAAGATACTTCACCTCTACCAGCAGAACAAAATCATTTATCCTAGTAAATACCACTCAGGCATACACTGAAAATATGGATGAATGCTTAAAGCCTCTCTGGGATTGCAGCTCAAGTTGTTTTTATAGTATTTAGTTGAGTTGCTGTTATCCTGATTTAAGCTTCGTACCCTTTTACATGACTTTCTTTGAGGCAGTGAATTAATACTTTCAGATGTTACAGACTAGTAAGTGGAGGCACATCAAGACTGAAGTTCTGCAACTTGAAGTATCTTGGCTACATCCCAGTTCCCTACCAGGCTGAGATTCCTACCTACTGCACTGTTTCCCCTCCTTCCATATCAAGGAAGCATAGGCTATGGCCAAGTGGAAACCATCACCATCCAGCCCAGCAACAGAGAACTCCTATCCCATAGACTGACTGTAGCTAGTGTGAACCACTCAAGGTCACAGAATCTGAGCAGAGTTGGAAGTGTTTCTTCAGCTCCACATCTGTGCAGCCTCCTCCATTTTCTCATCCAGTCTTAATGACATGTTGAGGAACTAACACACAAGGCTAACTATCAAAGCTAACTGAAAGCCAGTCACAGCCCAACTGCTTTACCATTCTATCAGTGTTTCACTGACTACTCTTTTCACAGGCCAGGAAACAATGGAGGTTAATGGTTGCTAAAGAGGACCTTCACAGGTTACAGGAAGTCAGAAAGCACATGCCCTAGCAGGGCTGGCTCTTCTTAACACCTCAAGATCCCAAAGTGTTCCTACAGTTTAGAAGTCTAAAACAGACTCTAGCACCTGTAAACTCCTCTATACCAAGTTCAAGGACTGAGGCAGAAGCATGGTGGGGCATGAAGCTTCAGCATTTCAGATGGCAGATTTAAAAGACACAAATATGAAAGTCAAACTAAGATAAACAGATTGGACTGAATAAGTACAGGAGGGGAGAACAGGGGATCTGCTGTCTCACCTCTAGCTTCATCTTTCAGACGTTGCATGGACTCCAGAAGGTTTTCTTTTTCATCCAGTTCACTCTCCAGAAAAGCATTTCTTTCAATAGCCTGGTTTAGACGCTGCTCAAAATCTTCAAGAGACATTATAGCAGCTCTGAAAGACAATACACAAGATTTTATTACCAGGAGTACAGAAACTCCCTCTCCCACAAGGGAAGGTAAAATCTTTTGGGTTAGGATAATTTTTTGTTTTAATTTTAGCTTTTTATTGAATATGAAATAGTGCAGTTGGAGTAACAGAAGGGGAAAAAAATCTCATTCATAATTTTTCTTGAATACCTTCATCACAACCATCAACAAGGTAAGTATTTAGCTCAAGTTAGTTCAGAGTGGCAGTGCTAAAAAGCCCAACATTACAGATTACACAGAGTCACCATATTTGCAGGACAGAACTGAGGTGATAGAAGAGAACATAGAAGACTGGTCACCTTTTTGTTCTTTCCAAGTCATCATTTGCTTGCTCAAGTTCTCGAATGTATTTCTGAAGTTGATCCTTAATAGCTTTCGTCTGTGCCAAGTCATCTTCCAGTGCAGAGATTTGCCTGTACCATTCTGAATTCTGCATTTTAAACTTCTCCTAGTCAAGGACAAATAAAACAGCCTATCAGGGACTTGGTATTGCCTTAGTCCCTTTAAAGGCAATAAAAAAGATCCTGTGAAGTACTTAGAGAACAATGATCTTACACACAGTAAAATATCAACAAAGCCAATTGCTCGCATATTTCTGGGCTGCCAATAGACAAGAGTTCTTATAACTCTTTATCAAATGATAGTGCTGGGGAACAGTTCCTGACATCCACAGCACGGAGCAGTTCACTGCTCTCCCAGACAGCTCTCTCTTGCACTTCCCCATCTCTCCTCCATTTACAACATATCATAATCTTACATGCAGACAACCTCTACCTTTTTCTGAGAAAAAGGCTTAAACAACAGCTTGTTGGTTTACTTGTTTTTTGTCTTGTTTTTGAGTGGGAAATTACACCAGCATGCCTGGGTCCTGCCCAGTACTATAGGTATCTCAACAAGCAAAGGATACAAAGCCCCCGTATCACACAGCATCCTGCAATGTAAAAGTTTTTTTTGTTTGTTTAAGAAAAGGGACAGCCAGAAGGGCCTTGCTGTTTTAAGAGGCAGGTGACAACCACAACACAGAGGCCCACAAATTAGCACCTCCTTGAGCAATAACATCAAGTAACACCACAGAAAGGATCTACGGGACCTGTGAGGCAAATACACTGGCCAGAGTGGAATTATCTGCAAAAGGCTGTAAGCCTGCCATCTGCTCTACCTGATTCTGTAGAATGGGATGAACATGTACACTTCACTCCAGGACGTCAGCACAAGACTAATTTCTGAGCCTTGGGAGCTCAGAAATTCATTAAGCAGAATGTGAGAAGATAATTCTTTCTTAGAATTGAGAATAAGTAAGAAATACTTAGGGAACTAAACATCAAGAAAAAGAACACCCAAGTGCAACGCTTACATAGTATTAAAGGAACAAGCAGGATTCTTCACTACTGCTGAGGTTTTATTAACCCAAAGCAGGTTCAAAGGTCTTGATTATAAAACATTTCAGGTGCAGCTATGCAACAAGCTTCAGACATGAACCTAGAACAAACTGTCTTCCTTTACAGCATGCACATAAGGCACATATTTAGAAAAGACACCAATGGGGAAGAAGGTTAACTTCACCAGCACAAACCTCTCTCTAGTTATCACTTCCAGACATCAGGTGACAACAAAAGCATACACTCCACCACCTTGCTACTGAATGACTTCAACATGCCAGAAACTTTAAAGCTCCAAGACTGCTAGATAAGTAGCATTCCTGACATTCTTCTCTGTTTAGAATTCAACACACTTGAAGTCACCAAAAACAAATCCACACATTGGAACTTGAAAACCATGGCACATAGTCTGTCATAACTGATAATCTGAAGAGAGCTGCTTTAGTGCATATAACACACAAACAAGGAGGAAGGAAGAGAAACCATTCTGAATTTATTAATTTCTACTTAGTTAAGTGTGGTGACATGTTGTCATAATTCCTGATCCCTGAAAGCACAGGTGCACTTTGGCTTTAAGAGCCCCTACAAGCAGATTACTTTCAGCTAGCTTTTCAACGCTCTAAATAAGCCTTCAAAAGTATTATTTCCATTTATACTTAAGGAACTCCAGCTTCTAAGGAGTAGCAAGCACACACATCAAGCCGGTAAATTCAAAGCTACAACTTGTACAAGTTCACTTGTGTTAACCTAGATGTAGACACCAATCCTTGATGGGTTCAGTTAACATCACTGCTCAATAGCTTCATGAGTTTAATGCTTCTCTCTTGGATTGATTCAGATAAAAGACCAGAACTGCAAGGTTTGAGCCTTTGTTTTCAGCCAATTGTAATAAACCATCAGCTGACCTGACCATCAATAGAGCCTCTATTCCTTCACTGCAGGCTGTTACTGCAATCTTCAGGCTGCATGAATAACCAATTGTTAAAATGCTCATTTCAAGCAGAATATGTTTTTATAAACTTATCCACTGTAAAAATTAAACAAGGTTTTCTGAAACATTTACTATCCACTTTTTAGAAGTTTTATGCCAGTTCCTACTATTTCCACTCCCGACTGCTTTAGCTCATTCATTGCCCTTTTCTCTCAGCTCTTACAGCAGAAGAAAGCAATCTATTCTCTCCTTAACCCAATGAACTGCAAGTTTTTGTTGAACTTCTCCTCACTCATCAGTTTCTATTGATTTACGTGACTATGGGGAAAAGAACAGGCCAACACTCCATACAATAAGCAGAGCACTTAATATTGCTATGCCACTAATAGAGCAAGAACACCAGTCTGTCACCAGTGTGACAGAACAAATGCAGTTAAGTACGGCACAGAGCTTTTAATGCCAAAAGGATTGTGGGGGGGAAGAAGTGTGGAAATCACTAAGTTGGGGCAGGGGAACAGAACATCTTTCTGGAATTAGATTTCCAGAGACAATAGCTGAGACACTGAAGTATTTAGAACTCTTTCAAGCAGATTACAGATGATTTTTTCTCAATTTTTCCAAGCTGAATCTGCACACATCAGTCTCATTCACCTTCATGCTTAGGATACATAGCTATTGTATCATCCTCTCTTACCTTAACGGACTCCAGTTCCATTCGCAAATGATTGTTTTCTGAAAGAAGGTCTCTGTTTCTGGACTCTGTTTGCTGCAATTGAGTTTCTAGTTCAGCTTCATATTCCCGGCTCCCTTCTTGGAATTCACGCAGTTCCTCCTGTGTATTCTCAGCACTAGAACACAGTTCCAGCAACAGAACTCACCTTAATGAATCAAAACAATTTCTGGATTTTGGAGAGGAAGAAAATACTACTTGCTAGCACAGAAAGCTCTATGCCCCTCTCCAACACACTGTCCTACTCAAAACCAGAGAAGGGATCAAAAGCAGCAGTGTCATGGCAGCACTAATAGTGAATTAGTAGCTCAAATAAGCACGAAGGATTCTGGGCTGATGCAGTCTATGCTGAAACCTGTGGTACCGCATTGCTACTGCTGCCACTCAACATAGCGCCACACAGGGAGGTAAAATCAAGGTAGTTCAGCTATTTGTCTTGGCATGCACTGCTTATACATCCTATCAAACAGCTTCAAGGAATGAAACCACTGCCTTACCATTGCTTGTATTTCATAGCCAACTCTTTCCAGTATCTGGTTTCCTCTTCAACGGAGCTGAAGCGATGTTCTTCTGAGTCTTCCATGGCAAGTCCGCAGAGTTTAAAATTCCTGTTTCATATTTTGCCCTGGAAAATTAAAGGATCAAGCATTAAGAACTAACGCAGTGAATTAACTCTATTTTTCATTGTACAGTGGTGCACCGCTCCTCCCACGAATGAGGTGCATATCTGGATACCAAACTAAAGATCAGCCTCAACAGCACTCTGCTGGATATAATAAAAACGTGATAATCGCCACTGAATCACCACATTCTTTTCACCAAGTTTCCCAAGGCTACTGAACATCACATGGTCAGAGGGAAGATGCTTGCTGTAGACAACACAGCACAGAAGGTCAAATGTCAGACTTCAGCTACAGCTGTGCAGAAGCACACAGAACACGGGTGAGAAAGAGGATATCTCAAACACACCTCCAAATTAACTTTGATTTCGACAGCCCTAGAGAAACACTGAATGAAAAACTTCAAAGAGACACCCAAGAACGCACTCAGGATTCTAGTTTCCTCTGTTAACACCTGCATGAGCACCTAAGCTTTTTATGGATACACTTGCTAAATAAGAGAAAAAAAATTCTCACTACAGTAGACAAAACCACTTAAAACCTGAACTATCACAGTCCAGATATGGTTGATGGGCACAACATATCCAGATACCTCAGAGAGCCATGGGAGAAGGAAATTCCAGAAATTCCTAGGGAAAAGATAAGAGCTCCACAGAAGTTCCAGTGGGATAGCATCTGGTTAGACTAGATGTGCAGATAGATTGCAGCAACCCAGTGAGCAATCCAGACCAGCCAGCAGTCCTTGTGCAAGCATAAGCACAGGCACGTCATAGTCCCAAAAACAAATGACACATACAAGAGCCATGTGGAAATCAAGCACCTTAAGTTGGTAACTCCTGCTTGAAGACTTAAGTAGATACTATAATGAAATGCCTTCTGATGTGCATATTGCACTCTAATAAACAGGTAACTAGCAAGTTACCTGTTTATAGGTACCATCTTTTTATATGAGGTAGTCCTGACAAGGGAGAAATATCAGTCCTAAAGCTCTGGATAATCTCCCATGGGCAACCCTAAGTGAGGCAAAGATTCCATTAGCATTACAAATTTAATGGAAACCTCAACAGATTAAGGACAGGGAGTCAGTCAGTTCATGCCAATGGCAGCTGTCTGAACTGTATCACTGAAATTTAAGGATAGAGGAAACAGTTCTTCCAGCTAATTCTACACTTATGGAAAAAAAAAAATCATAACCTATATTCACACTTTCTTCTCTGTAAAACCACCTGGTTTAGGCACTCAATTATTTGGTGCCTTTCCCAAGACAAACATGTACTTGCCTCTACTGCAGAGGACAGCTTCAATATTTAAAGCAGTCTGGTTCCAATTCCAAATCCAATTCCTACATATCCAAGCAGAAGGAAAGCACAAGTTGTTTTACAGCTTGTGATTTTTTCAGGAGCTTAATGAACAAAAAGTGGATGTCACAGATAAGTGGGCTGGGTCCAAACACGTTGATGCACAGCATCAGCTCCAATCTCATAGATATCACACTATTTAGATTGGGAGCCAAAGGTGAGAAGTTATTGAATTTTAGTTTTAAAACCGCATTTCTTAGCATTGGTTAGACAAACCTAAATCTCTTCTTACTAAGAAATGAAGAGCTTTCCAGCAAAAAGTCTCAAGGTTGCTGCTAGTTCTACATATTTTCAGAAGTACATGCTGCAGAGGGGAAAAAAGAAGAGGAAAATGCGTGTGTATAAGGAGGGATTTTCCAAAGAGTATCCTTGTCTTTTATGAAGAAAATTCAATCCAAGCACAATTAGCGTTCCTTACATAGGGCAGTTCACTGTACATCTGTTCTATTTTTAAGTGAGCTAAAGACTACTTTTGACATTAATGAGCATCTAACATATAAGGCACCACAGACACTCACCAGACATAGCAAATAATGTGTGAAGAAGATATTCTTTTCTAACAGTGAAGAACAGGAGGTAAAGTCAGACAAAAAGAAGTGATGTAGGTGCAGTGAGAAATCAAGAAGGACTGGTTTCCATTGCTGTGGTCAAATCACTACATAAAAGAACAAGTCTGAGATCCTTTTGGATGCTTAATTCTCTCCACTCGTACAACAGGAAATTTCATTATTTAAAAAGAAGAGAATCCACCCAGGATTACCCTAACTTTGTTACATAAACAAAAATCTTTCAGAAGTCCCAATAAAGGATTCCTTCTGACTTATGTAAGCATAATAATAAAACCATTTCCTGTGTCAACAGAAAGAAATCAGACAAGGTGAAGAAGTGTAACATCTACTCCTGAAAGCTTTCAAACAACCTTTTGGAACCAAAAGGCCTGCAATCAAGAGACAGTTACTGTTGGCTTGTATTTGGCTCTCAGGTTATAACACTGCACTTTGGAAAAAGCAAGAGAATGCACTAATCTGCATCTTATAACACATCACAAACAAAAGGATTTTAACTGAGCTATAAACATTACAGAAGGTACACAGAACCCAGTAATTTTCAGAGGAGTAGCAATTGATGTGCACAGCATCCTTGTAAGTGTGCCCTTGTTAAAAAAAAAAAAAAAGATTAGGGACACCCTCACAATGTCAGCCATTAAGAATACATTGTTCCATGGCTACAATTACTAAAGACTATTTACAAGTTAAAATTGGTCGTTAAACTGTAAACATAGGAAAGACTGGTAGACCTATACTTATTCTACAGAGAGGACACAACAAGGCAGAGATTGTTCCACCACCATTAGGTTTTCTCTCTGTACACCTGCACTGTATCCTACCTCAGAGGGATTTTCAAGTTTATCACAGATGAAAGATACAAACCGAGAAATCTAAGTTTGGGGCGAGGTACTAAAGCTCCCCTATAAAAAAGGAAAAAAAAAATATCATAAATCTCTCCTAAAGAGCTATCGGAAAAGGTATGGCCTTGATTCCCATCCACCACTATCCTCTCTACTTGATTTTTAACAGCTTAAAGTCAGCATGTAAACTGACTGGAAAGTAATTAATAAAACCATTTAGGAACTTTTCACTGCACAGACTCATTACAAAAAGGGAAGAATGTGTGCCTGCATGAAGAAAGTGTTACTAATATTAGAGACAGGTAAATGGAGAGAAAAAAAAAAAAGAAAAAAAAAAAAAAAACAAACAAGAAGAGAAAGTCACAGGCTCCAGCATGCACTTGCTGGCTGCACCTTGTTTTCACAAAGCCAGAAAAGACATCTGGGATGCCAGACTTCCTGCATGCAAGCAGCACAAGTGCTGGTCACAGACATTACAAAACCTCTACATCATACAGGAAGTGGAAGTGTTCAGGGGTGGGGAATGGAGTTTTACAATGAGAAAAACGCTTCAGCATAATCGTTCCAGGAAGTTATTTCACATAAGTGACATCAGAAGTGCGTATTTCTTAGAGAAAAAAAAAAAGTCACACAACTAAAATTACTGAATAACCTTCCGTTTGGGAATCAGAGTCCTAAGATCACAAGGACCACAGCTTAAAATCTGTTTCAGTCCCAGAATAAGGAACTCCAAAAAATCCTTGCATATCAAATAACTTTTCTGATAAGGGAACATTTTAACTCTGTGAATAACGTTGGCCATCTGTATAGCTCTGCCCGACTGCCAGAGTCAGAGCATATTCTACTTTAATGAGAAATAAAAGAGAGAAGAAAGACTAAGCAAAGGCAGGACTAAAACACCATCGTAAGCACTGCACGGCAGAGAAGAAGCTCAAAGAATCTAAGTCAGCCGGTTGCTCCTGGAAAGCAGCTTTCCCATCGCGCCGAGGGTCTCGTGCGGCACGGCCCCCTCTCCTTTTGTTCAAGCAGTACGAAAGAGAACCAGCGCGAGGGATAACGAGCTCAGGTCTCCCTCGGGCCGGGAGCAGCGCCGCTCCACCGCAGCTCCGCTTCGCTCCATCTCCAACGCGTGCTCGATTCCCAAGGACACTCAGAAGTTCTCTCCAGATCCGGAGACCTCGGTGCCGGCAACCGCAGTCCCGGGGCTCCCCGTTCCATTCAGAGCACGGAAGTGGCGCGGAGCCGAGCCGGCGAGCTGCGCTCCCACACTTCCCTCACAGCGGGGACCGCAGAAGCGTAGCGACGGAGCCCGGCGCGAGGGGACCGAAGGAAGGCAAGGTACCGCTCCTGCCTCCCACGGCCGCCCCTTTCCCGCAGGAATCCGCCCCAGGACAGCCTGCGCCCGACCGCCACCCCCAGACCGCTCTCACCTCACGCGCAACGCACCCCACTCCACCCGCGCCGCAACGGCCCGTCACAGCCCCTGCCGAACCCTACGCTGAGGTACACTGCGCTCTCACAGCGCGACCGGCCAGCCGCCTCCGCCGCCCCATTGGCTGCTGGTCACGTGCCCAGCGTCGCTCCGCCAATCAGCGGCTCGAGCAGCATTTGGGAACTTTTCGTTATTTTCAAACAGGGCCCGGGCTGATCCCGCCCCGCGGCACCCGGCCCCGCCGCGCCCCTCCCGCGAGAGCCGCGCCTTCCGGCTGGGGCGGCATCTACCGCCCTTCCACGCTGCTGTCATTTCAAACGTTTGTCGGTTTTCCCTAGAAATGCTCTAAAAGAGGAGAAGCTTCGCATCTAGGGTTGCTCTGTGATTCCGAAAAACGTTCTTCCGAAAAGGCAGCGTTCCTCCATTACATCCGTTTTTATGAGCCTGGAACGAGCCCCAGTCACTGCAGCCGGCATCGCAAGGACACAGCGCTCTGTGAAATATTACACCGCCTCAGGTGCACTGCGCCGCGAGCTCAGCGCTCACAGGCCCAGGGCACCGCAGTGGGAGCCAGGCCAACAGCGGGCTGAGCGAAACCAGGGAGCTCCGCGCCAGCCCTGCCCTGCTCCATTCCAGGGCTGAGCCATGCGGAGCTTTCCCAAGTGCCCCAGCTGCGTTCCTACTCAGCAGCCCACAAACACCAGTCTCTGGGTGTGCCCGGTGTTTGTTTCCTGAGTCAAAACCAAAGCACGAGTGTGTACGGATAGGCTCCGACCCACGCATCTCTGCACACACCACAGCACACTGTGCTAACTGCCAGAGCATGGGCACCTATGCACAGTGCCTTGATCCCACCTCATTACTTCAGCAAGGCAACACTCGGCCTGGAGCAGAGCCTGACTCTGCAAAGCTGGCTGCACCTTGCCCTTACCGCTGCAGGGAACTGGGATGTAACCCAACGATGGATGCTTTTCTGGCAGAATGTTATCATAGGAGAAACCCATGCAGAGCTATCATAGCTTTAGTTGAAAATGGTGAGCAAAGCAATTATACTTTCAGGTCAGATATTCAGCAAATTAATTGTATTTTGAGGTCAGACATTCAACAAAGTAAATGGAGACAAATTATTATACAACTATTTATAGGCAACTAAATTAAGTATTTAACAAATCATTTAACAGCAGTTTGCAGTTGTCATTGCTCAAGAATGTTTTCAATGACTAAGTTACAGAAAGTAAATCATGTGCCATCATACTATGTCCCCAACAATTCGAAAATTCATACACTGTTTGAAAGTTAGGGACAAATAATGTTTTATTTCAATTCTTTCTTTGAGGATAGTATGAGTGCACAGATGATATCAAAAGTGTACCCAAACATTTTTAATAGTTCTCACCCTGAAATGCTGGTAAAGTATAGAAAAATTTCTGAGATTTCAGAGGAATCTGTTTAGGCTCTCATCTGGTTCCAAAACAGCATAGCAGATACTATGAGATGCCAGAGGCTCAGAGGTGCTGCTGTACACAAGCAGTAAATATTAACAGAAAGGTTCTTTAATTATTGTGGAATAATTGCTAAAGGTGACTTGGAAATCAAACTTAAAGTAACAAGTTTACAAAAGTAAAGCATTGTGCACACATTAAAGAAAGGTGCTAAAGCAAAGTGCAGCTGCAATGCAAGGAACCCAAGAAGATCCCTAGGCAACCTCAGGTGTTGACAACATCAGTGGAGCTTGATGTGCTGACTCTAGGAGAAGCAGCACGAAGGGTGGAACGGAGTGAAGATATGGCAGCCAGGCTCTGCGATACCACCACTGGGATGGTGAAGCTTAACCACAATGCTTAGTATTTCCAAAATCCAACCCCGTGGTGCAAGATCTTAACAGATACATTTAAATGGAGTGAAATCAACAGACAACTTAAATAGTTGATGAATGACACTGGACAACATAGTGATGTTGGCAGTTATTCTGCAGCAGGTTGCCACAAGAGTTGGTTATTGATGATAAATTTAAAGCTTGCTAGCTAAAAGGGAGGACTTTAAGGAAATCAAATGGATAATGAACACAACAGACCACAGATCTAATCACAGCACCGTACTGCTGTGTAGCTTATTGCTATCCACAATGCAATGCACAACAATAAACTGTATTTATAGGAGGAAGTTGGCTTTGCTGCAAACACTGAGCAACTGAACACAGAACCATGAGCTTTATGGCTGGAACATGATCTGATCACCAGCAGTCATCACAAATGCTGATGTTTTTGAGAATTACTGGAACCTGTAACAAGATGCAACATAGTAGAACTCCACATAAAAACTAAAAGGAAGCACTTAACATCAGCGAAAGCTAATTCTGCGTGTGTAAAGATGGTCCACAATTCTCTGCAGTCTTTAAAACTGGATTTGCGTCTGCTTAAGAAAGGAAGATATTCTCGTGACTTTAAAACCCCTTTGAAACCTTGAACAAACTGACAAAGTGAAAAAAAACTGGAAAAAGTGAGAAGTGAGAAAAAGTGGATTTGGATACGAGCACTGTCACTCTGAGCTTTGCTGGCGGCTGCAACCCACTAAGAGCTAAGGTAAAACGAGGACGTAGCCAAATATCACAGTGTCACGCCGAAAGACAGCGCCACGTGAGAAAGCCCGCACCCTGTAACTCCCCTCGCCTCCAGAAGAGGCTCGGCTCCCAAGAAACAAGTCCCGGCTACGGAAACTGACACCATACTTCTGTCCCGGTCTTGTAGGCAAACAGCCGCGCCGTGAGGTAACTCCGGTAACTCCGCTACCCCCGCTCCGCAGCCCCGCCCCGCCCCGCCTTCTCGGCGCGCCGTACCGCGCCGTGTAAAAGCCACCGCCCTCAGCCCTGCGGGGAGGAGGGGGGAGTGTAGTGTTACGGCAGTCGTCTGCGCGACAGCGGGCTGCTTTCCGGCGTTCGGCGGTGCTTGACGGCGGAAGGAACAGCGGCGGGGGGAGGGAGGACAACAAAGGGGTGTGAGGGCGGCGGAATGTGAGGGGTGGCGGCGCCGGAGGCGGCTGAGGTGAGGCGGGGGTCTCTGGAAGGGGCGGCGAAGCGGACGGGCCGTGCCGGTCTCGCGCGCTCGGGGGCCGCTCCCGCGGTGGGGACGGCCGTGCGGAACGCTGCGGCCCGGGGCTGCCGGGGCCCGCTTCCTTCGTGAGTTGCGGCCGCCTCCACTGGGGGAGCTGCCAAACGGCCCCGGCACAGAACTGCCCGCGGGAGGAGCGGCCGTTTGCCCAGTAGTGTCGCGGGCTGCGCCTTCCTCCTGGGAGCGGGCAGCGGCCGGGGCTCGGTGTCGCCCCCTGGGCTGGGGGCTGCCGGGAGCTGCGGGTCTCGAAGGCGAGGCGCGGCCGCGGGGGGCTCGCCTGGCTCCTGTCTGTTGACTTATTGTATTTAATCTTTCTAATTCGTAAGCGGAACGGCTCTGTTGGGTATTATCAGACTTCAGAAGTGGCCTACTCGAGAGTTCTGGAAGTTTTTAACTTAATATCTCGCATTATGTTGAAGTGTTTACGGATTGTATGAATAAACACTTCTGATTTGTTTTTTTTCTGTTTTGTTTTTTGAAGAAAAAAATTGTTTTTGTGGTTAAAAATAACATTGGGACGAAGTCGGTGTTATGGGGTGTAGTCCTTGAGGTTTGTGGTGAATGTTAAATGTGAAAGACCATGTAGCTGTAGTTTAATCAATGTGGCCCATAGTTAAAAGGTATGGAGCCTTCATTTCTAATTGTAGGTTGTTCTGGTGGAGCATCGTTTTGTCTTGTGGTTCCATAAAGCTGAGCTGATGCAGTGGGACTATGGAACTGCCTGGGAACTGAAAGGAGTGCCTGTAGATCTTTATGATTTAAAAACTCAGGTTGTATTATTGAATGCTGTGTGCTTAATGCGAGTGTATGTAGCTCTTTGAGTGAAACAACAATGAATATGGAGGCTGAATCTTCTAGCTGAGATCACTTTCATCTGGTTTGTAATCAGTGAGCTAGTCTTGAAAACTTACCCCTTGGCTTCTCTTTCTGGGAAAGTGCCCTGGAAGTTTCTGGGAGTTGTTTTATGTCAACAGCAATGCATTTCTGGGATTTTATAGGTAATGCCTTGGGCTTAAACAAGTCTTTCTTTAGATTCCATTACCTATATGGCAAATCATGAGGTGTATTTCTGTAATAGGCATGAATAGTCAAGGCTATGGCCCATGCATAATTAAATTTGCGATAAATAATGCAGGAGTGTGATGTAGCGGAATTCATAAGACCACTGTGATCTTGTCTTCCTTAACCTGAAGTAAAATGTTTGGGTTTTTTTTTTTTCTTTAGCAGGTGGAAAGAATGAAAGGAAGGAGGGATGGAAGAATGTTGAACCGTTTTGCTTGGCTGTATGATGGAAGGAAACAGGACAGAGAACCTCTGTAATAGATCTTTTGGATGGCTTCAGCGACAAGAGAATGATGTTAAACCATGGCTCTGGAAACTTTCTAATTGCTTTTCTGCTGCTGAGAAGACTTTGCCTTGTAGTGCGAAAACGGTAAGTTTTTGGTTTGCAAAAAGCATAGCTGGCACAGAGCAGTATTCCTAACTGTGGTGTTGTGACTAAGAGAAGCGAGTAGGGAGGGCAGAAAGAGCAGACAACAGTTAAAGAGCAGACAATTTTCTTTCTTCAAATGTTTATGTTCCATAACTGTTCTGTACTTTTTAGATACAGAGTGCTAAGGGTTAGGAATAATAGTCTAACACTTGTTTAAGCAAGCAAGCTCCAGCAGTGTCCATGCTTGTTCCATCTGTCTTTAGTTAAAAGGCAAGGGAGAAATGGATGGGCACAAATTGTTTGTTGTTTCATGCTTAGGATGGTAGGAGGGGAACTCCTGTAAATTCTGGAGCTGAATACATTAATACTTTTAGGTGGTGTTTTAGCTCTTCAGTACATAAGATAAGCCAGGTAATGGTTTCAAACTTCAGTAACCTATTGCTCATTGCTACGTTGTATGCAGTGCTCAAAGTTCAATTCAGAAACTGAAAGTTGATTCAAAGTACTGATCTAAAGCCTTGGAACAGCTGTATGCAGGCTTGCTGCACTGACTTTCATTTCTGGTGCTTCTCATAACCTTGTTTAGTTTTCGTTAC